GCTAGAGATATGGACTATATGGACTATTTTGAAAAACAAGAGAGAAATCTTCTTGAGTTTTGATGCTCATGTTTACTTTTCTGTTTTGACATAGCAAATAGAATTGTTGCATTAATTATTGTGCTTCTTTTTTTTTGTCATCTAGAATATTATATTAAACCCAAAAGATCGATTACAAGATATGATACAAGTTTTTCACAACAAAGCCAAAGAAAACAAATTTCCCTAGAGACATCTTCAAGCCACATGAAACTAAAACGAAAGAGAAAGGGTATTGATAACGATAGAAGAATAATTCTCGATCGATGCTCAAAACACTGAACCATCAACACAATCCCACAAGCTTGACCATTGAACTTAAAAATGCCAAAACTAAGCCAACAAACATAAATTTCGAGCAGAACCTGAACCTTGAGGCACATCCAGAAAGCTGAAAGACCACAACGTGGCTTTAGAACCAACTTAACCGGCAACAGCCAAGACGGAGAAGAAAGCAGGCAGTAATGATAACATAGCAAAGAACCAACAATAAAGCGATCAGACCACAAACCACCGGGATCTTGAGAAGGCAATGGCGCACGGCAAAGATACATTGACCTCCGAGCCCAAACAAAGGAATCAAGCCAACCTCAAAAGTCAAACAAACGCACAAACCACTAAAAAGCCTAGGGCCAAGAACTACTACATTTACCTAACCAAAAGAACCCTATCTCAGCCAAATGTACAACCATGGCAGACTACTTAGAGAGCACAATACGGGTAAACGATTAGCAAGACAAGGAAAGAGCAAGACCAAACCGATAAGATAGAAGAAAACTTTGATTAGGAAAACAATCCCAGACCAAAGGCCCTGCCTTCGGGAAGCATCTTACACCGGCGGAGAAGACCGGGACTGAGCGCCAAAAGCGAGCGATCTCGAGGCCAAAGAAACCGAAACACCGAGCACCACGCATCAACCACTCAAACCAGAGAGACCACTCACACCATCCGAGATCCAAACGGATCAGACTCCGAGCCTCACCACACCCACAAGATACTCTGAAGGAACCGAACCAGAAAGTAGATCTGAGAAGACTTCACCACGAGAGATGACCCATGCTCCAGTGGTCATCGAACCCGGCGGCTCTACCTCCACAAAACACAAATACCGACCGATGCCTTCATTCCAATAGCCCAAAACCAAGCGAAATCATAATCAAAAGAAACAAAACATAAAAGAGGGGGTCCGTGACCGGCGCTAAAGGAGCCGCCGGCCACCGGAAAACAAGATCGTGAAGCTTAGATTCGAGAGAGAAAAGCCACTTGCGGCTAGGGCGGAGTCGCTCAAAAAAAAAATTTCTTTTTGTTTTCTTAATTATTGTGCTTCTCTACTACTACTTATTACATATTAAAAAAGTTTAAAAGATGTATATGATTATGCATGTTGACACATAATACACATAGATACAGATACCAAACTCAGCTCGGAGCCAAAACAAAAAAAGCAACTAAACAAAATTTATATCTAACATTTTCTTATAGTCATTCATTATCATAACATTTTACAAAAATCTCAATAAGCTTATTTCATTTTATGTCATTTTCCTCCTCCGACATCATCTCCAATGACCTGCATTCGTTGCTACAAAAGGCTCTATCTCCCCTACAATAATTATGTCACCAAAAATTTTGCTAATTAGCCAATTAAAAATTCAATAACAATTCCATAAATATATTCAAGTTTTAATAAGTGTAAAACATACGAAATACTAATACTGTATTAGATTTGAGTTTTGAAGCCAAACCTGTACATGAAAATGTCATCACGAGGTCCAAGAGTCTTCTTACAGTTACAGCAGCTACTGAGAAAACCGTCGGGTGGTAAATAATCCGATTCGTTAATCGGGTCGGAGCTCCGGAAGAAAACGACGCCGGGTTTGCTCTCTACGATACAGTTATCGAATATATGGATCGTTCTCGGGTTAGGCCCGTGACACGTCACGCACGTGTAGTCCTCCGATAATTCCATATCGGACGTCGAAAAATAGCCCGTGAAGATCCGGGGCGACCCAAGACCCGACCCGGAAACCGATTTCTCCGGCGGAGAGGTTATCGGAGAATTCCTCGTTTTTATCCCGAAATCCGACGAGGAGCGTGGAGAATCCGGGACCCGGATCCGGAGCTGTGACCCGAATAGGATTGTACCGGATCTTGGTTTGGAGAAACCGGGTTCTGGGTTATCTTCTTGGATGAGAGAATCTACAATGGCGAGTCCGATTCTTTTGGGTTCGGGCTTGAGACGGGTTTCGGGTTCTTGGGTTTTCGAGTTATCGGATCCAAAAGGGTTTTTCAAAATTGAGGTTGGGCTCGCGACGGCGTCGTTTTCAGTGAAGCTTTTGAAGCTGGTGAAAGCAGTGAAGAGCCGTGGAAACGGCGTCGTTTTGCTCTGTTTCTGGTTCGTATCCGCCATTATTAAACCTTGCTTGCTTCTTGATCTCTTCTTCAGCATAATTCACTGCTCAATTACGC